ATGTCCTCCTTCCAGCGAGTCGTGACAGTTCTGCAAGACCTCTTGAATCATCGTTGTCGGTACCACAAGCCGCAGCTTGGTCTCCTCTTGCCAACCGTGGTCGTACCGACGATTCAATCCAAGATAGTGAAGCACGCCGTCTTCTGATAACACGAACCGGTCAGCGTATTTCCAGGCATTTCGAGCTTCTTTGTAACTCAGCTCTTGTGCTTGGCCCTGGAGCACCTTCTTGATACTAAACCACTTCTGCTCCTCGTCTTGTGCTATCTGTATCCGTCTGCGTCGTTCCCGCTGTATCGCTACCGGGTCAACATCCTCCGCATCGGGAAATGCCGCTGTTTGAGAACTTCGATAGCGTGGAACGCTGTTTGGTCTTATACCTGGATGCGAGGTATGACCTCATCCTTGGCATGGCATGGCTGGAACGCCATGAGCCATGGGTCGACTGGAAGTCAAAAACGCTGGGTGCGTCGCACCCTGCTCCTAGTGGAGCTTTGGTGAGTCATGAACCCACCTCTGCTAGGAAGCAGAAGCGCTTTTGGCGCGAGCACGAGGCCAAGGCGGCCGTAGTGCTGGACATTGGTATGTCCGAAATTGTTAGCAACGAGGTTGCTGTTTGCCCTGAGGGCGTACGTGGTGCGGCACGTTATCCGCTGAGCGGTGCAGGTCAGGTCAATGACCAGCTGCTGGGTCCTGGTGAGGACGGGCGCGGGGTGGCGCGTAATCCACTGAGTGGTACGAATCTGGTCGATGACCTACCGCTGCGTGACCCGAGGGTCGCGGTCGACTGCGAGTCGAGGCATCATGGGCGTGGCCCAGGAGATGCAGGTGAAGTGACACCTAGTTCACTGTGTGAAGGTCAAAGAATTCTTGGCTTTCAGCCGAGTGTCTTGCGAGACACTGTATCGTCTTCAAGGAGTGATGGTGCTGCTGCACCCGGTGGTGGTGACGGAGATGTCGCCACATCGCCCTCATCCGGCCGGGCTCGGTCGCGGAGGAAGAGAAGAAGAAGACGCAGGGCGTCTGTGACGTCTTCGACGTCGGACGATGTGTCCAACGTGACGAGCAGTGATGCTCCACGTGATTGCTGTGAACAGCTGTATACACTCGTGAACGGAGTGACGGGGGAGGTAGAAGGCGATATCAGCCTTGACACTCTGCCCGCTGCAGATGCTCTGCTAGAGCTGGACGAGATGTCCATGACCACACTGGATATGTGTGTGTCGATCCGGATCGGAGCTCAGCCGCAGCGGAACTTGGCTTATCGCCCCATTCATGAGCTTTGCGTTGACGACCCAAGACAGGTTTGGCACGGTCTCATCATGGTCTAACGGTGGTTCATCATGACCACACTCATCTGGCCGGGATCCGGCTACGGTCGGCTGGATATGGATGTGTCGATCCGGATCGGAGCTCAGCCGAAGCGGAGTTGGCCAATCCCCTCCTGCATGCGCTTTGCGTTGACGACCCAAGACTGGTTTGGCGCCGTCTCATCCGGATCTGACGGCGGTTCATCGTAACCACACTCATCTGTCCGGGATTTCGCTACGGTCCGCTGGATATGTGTCGATCTGGATCGGAGCTCAGCCGCGGTGGAACGTGGCCAATCGCCCCCTGCATGCGCTTTGCGTCGACGTACCAAAACGGATTTGTCACCGTCTCATCCGGATCCGACGGCGGATTGTGGTGTAGGGATTTCCAGATTCGACCATACGCCAACCTACTTTAGATCAAGAATCGGCTCGGTCTGATAACCCAGAGCTTAGGAACAAGGGATCACGGTAAGTACTTGGCGATTTGTCCGGATGATGATTTCCGGATAGCCGCTGAGCTCAACGGTCGCCTGAACCCAGCTGAAGGGTCGGTAGAGATCCGAAACGACTACATTTCACTAGATATTTGTATGAGAAGCATATGATTAAATAGGGGGAGCCGAAAGGGCTCCCAGAAGATAACAGAGCAGAATTTTCCTAGTCCAAGACACGTGTACACTTTTCCGGTAAGTCCCTGCATAGGGCCGGATTATGCCTGCCGTCAATACTCGAGAGGCATAGCTTGTAGGGTATTGACTGGTAGCGCCAAGAGATTAGGTCGGTCCGGGTGGGCCAAAGTCTCGCTACGCGCGAAAGAAAGCCCCGCACACTCAGCGGGCCGGTACGTCGGATAGTCCGGGTGCCGTAACACTTCTAGCTGAGCAGCCTCTGCGCTCGGTGACCTGTAAAAACGCTCGCGCGCCGTCGTCCATCCTTTGGTGGAGGGCACATGGTTTGTGGACGAGCTCAGCCGAACCAAACTCGGCGGAGCCTCGGAAGTGCTCTGACTTGGTTAGTCGGAACCGAGTGGAAGCGAGCCACTCGTCTGCCCCGGAAGGGCCGAACCGCGAGGGGACCACCCTCTGCGCAGCCCATACAACCGCCGGCCTAGCTCGGCAATTCGTTATGGTTTGTGTAAGGAATCCACATCTGACGGTATTTGTGCGTTCTACTACACCACACTACCAAGACAGTATGGGGGAAGGGGGATGCAGTTATACACGACCAGTTACGACTTCAAAGATATTTAACCCCCCAAACCCGAGAGCCTGTATGAGACACGATTCCGCGAAAAGCTTAACGTGTCTGAGACACGTTAAGCTTTTATACTTAACGTTTGTATAGGACCATACAAATTGTCAGTCAAGAAGGGGTAGGCATATTTCCCATCTTCCCGCACAGCAGTACATAGCTATGCGTGTGCCTTGAACTTGGGTTTTCTAGAAAATTAGAAGACACAGGTTTGATGGGTGTCACACAAATCAGCATAGAGGATTGCAGGTGGAATTCTGCGCCACCCATATCTCGGTCATTCGAGAATTTTCGCCGCTGCCGCTCAGATGTCCGGGTTCAGAGGCCGATGGCGAGAGCTTCTGAAGGAAGGATGGAAATCAAAGGCCCCTACGGGCCTGTCAAACGACTACACGTACCTTATGCCGGGACGAAGAAGGACGTACGTGGCGTGGACTTTTTCGTTGGAGAGGCTGCGTTGATGGCATTTTTGGACCGTATCGCCTTGGGTAAGTAGTATCGCCTTTCAAGGTCTTTGTGTGGACTCTTATACGTGTGCTTTGCTAGAGGAGATGAAGAAAGCTACCGCGGCGAAGCAACAAGCAAAAGCAGCAGCGACTCAACCTACTCCGGAAAGTGGACAGCCTGAAACCGATGTGCCTGATAGACAAGATGGTGCGTTTGATCTTATTGTGTATGTACGTGTTATGATTCTAACGCTATCGTGTAAATAGCTGCTGAACGAACTGTCAGTCCAGATCCAGACACGACGAAGACTGTTTGTCCGAACATTCAGGCTACGTCTCCACACCTGGCAGAGAGTGATTTGGGCAATTCAGCTGGTGATGAAAACGGTAAGCTGTCGAATATCTTGCTCGTACCTGTGAACTACTGCTAACGCTAACACACCACTCCCTTATAGGTGCAGACGAGTATCTCAATTGTAGTTTACATGCTGAATTCGATGCTGCTGCTACATCTGGCTCAGAGTATGCCTGCTCTGAGCCTGATAGCGACGGAGAAAGCACGATGCCAGGTGAAGAAGGGCAACCGGCCGCCATACCACCTGAAGAAGTGCAACCAAGCGTCAGCCTTGCACATGGAATCAGAACGATGATGGGTAAGCTTATGGTGTGTATACACGTTAAGGGTACACGTTATTTGGAACAATAGCGTTTTTACACTCCACTGTGGCGAGTGCGTCAGCTAGAAACTCCGGTCGAAGTAGACACAGGACGCAAACTGTCGAATATCGTGGCAGACGAGATGAAGAACCTGCTATAAATCTAAAGAGGACGTAACTCTAGCAGAGTACGCCAAGAACTTTGCCAAAAAACGGCAAGAGATCGTAGAACAAGCACAGAAGAATTAGCATGAAGC